TTTAATTGTGGCCTGTGACTCGACAAGAGATAATCTACCAGTACCAGCACAGCGCATAAAGGTTGAAGTTAAGGGGGACATACACATAGATGGGGAGGAAATGGATAGTGATAAGGTGGAAGAAATATATGGGTTTGAAAAGAGAAAACTTGAAAATGCTGTTGAATTAAAAGTAAAGAAAATGAAACATTGAAACTTATAAATCTTGGAGTTTTTTTCAAATACATTAGATAACGTTTTCAATGTTAGCTTCATAAAATAAAAACGATTTCTTAATCATCGGAACGGAAGTGGCGAATTCGTCTATGTAAAATGTAGAGGCGTCCCGGAAATACACGGAAAATCTAGAGAGGTCAGAAATCGCGCCAAACTTGTTTTCTTTAGATTTTCCGTGTAATTCCGGGACACCTCTATATTTTTCATCGTTAGAAATCGGCACTTACGTTGCCTTCGATGTCTGTACATGGTATAAATGACGTTTTGTGTTTGCTGTATGTTTTATAGGGCAAGATCAAATCGGCAGACGTTTGAAAAGTGTTATTTAATCATTTCAGAAGTTAGACCTCGTCCGACACCTGTAGGAAAAATGTAGATATTGATTAAAATCAAGTGTGAAACGAGGCACCCCCTGATTTTCAAGATGGTGAGTGACGCTGCTTTACTCTTTTTAAATACAGTAAATATGAAATTATTTTCAAACGTGCTTATTTCGGCGAATTTTTATTTTTATTTTAAGGTGGGTATTCAGGCACACATAAAAAAACACATAATACACAAAATACACCATCCTATAACCAAGCGCCTATGAACAGATACATATATTTGATATATGCATGATAACAAAAAATATATAACAACTGAAAGTAACTTGTAATGAAGTGTCCGTTACTTCATTCCGGAGATGTTTGTGAACATGAATTGAAAGAATCAGAATTAGTGAAATCTCGATCCCTATTCGAAAACTTGGAAATGCATCTGTAAAAGGGATATTTCCTAATTACACTATATAAAATGTGTACTCGTGACAATAAGGGGAATAAATAGCAAATGTTTAATTTTTGTCAATGGCATTAGGGAAAAAATCTACGTTAACTCCATATCCTTCCCGTAGCATCTTGGAAAAATTGAGGCGGCTGATGAAGATGCCGGCACTCTCCCCTTCCGTGAGGACACTTCGCCTGTGATGTCTTAATCTCTTCCTTGTTTCGTAAAAAGATTGTGTCCGCCATTTTTATTCCCGATTCTCTCTACTCTGCAGACCCATATGTAAAGACCAGAACTTAGTCACTGTTCAGTGTGATCAGTCGTCACCGATGTTGACGGACGAATGCTCTACAGGACTCTGTAGCAAGAATAACAAGGTAATTAATCGTCTAATGCAGAAAGGTAAGATATCAAATAAATTTTTAATTATAGTTGTACAGGTAAGTGCAATTTACAAACAACAAAGATAAACGTAACTACAATAAAATGTAAACAAACCGTAGTGCCATATAATTTACGAGTTTTAGAAGAGACATTGCTCTTCATAACAATGTACTTGGTTAGGTTGTTAAAAAGAGGTCCAAGGGCCTTGAATCGCTCTTCTAATAAATGGCACAATCTATCACTTCTACGTAAAGCTTCCAAATCTAAGTATCATTACACCCAAGATGCATAAACGGACAAAGTTAGATGAATCTTCTCTAGTTAAGTCGGCGGGGGATATTTTCATAAAACTTTATAAGCCTTAGGCAAGTTACGGTGACCTATTTTTAAATTTCATGAGGACTCAAGACTTATTAATAAACAAAGGTTGAATATTCCAAGGCTTGATATATTCAAAAGTACTTCACCATGACCTGTTTTTCTCTACATTCTCGATCGAATTGATGCTTCTTAGCTAATAAGTACTCATACTTTAATGTCTTCTTGTCTTTTAACAACAGAGCTTTAACCCTAGGGCTCCATTCTGTCTGTATTTCAAAGGTGATACCTGAAACATAGGCAAGGCATATTGCAATTTTATAAAGCACAAATCACCAGCACGTTAAATTTTACTTTCTCTAGATAAATCAGAAATGAAAGGATATATATATTTTAAAATAAAAAAAATTAAATAAATCTAATGAGGGTATACCTTAACTTGAAAAATAACAGTTATTGAAAAGACTTACACCCACAGCTTTTCTTGATACTGTTGATTTGAAAGGTGACACTTTGATACTTCAGAAGGCATTGTGCATTAATCTTTGTTACAACCAGACTGTTACACACTATACTTGACGTGGACGACACCCAGAATGGGTGTTGCTAAAATTCGGAACGAAAAAGCGGAACGGAGAATTTAAGTCAAACAAATAACATAGATTCGATATAAATCATATATAAAAGCACCATTTTTAATATAAAAGTGATATCACAATCGAAAGCTATTATTTATTTTTTCATGAATCATGCACATGCACCCTCAAAACAGACACGTGTTCGTGTGATGGCCTATAAAATACATAATAACCAGCCTCAAATTCTCAGTATCCACCTCAACGTTTCGACAAAAATTTTTTTTTTAAGAAAGCTCATTTTTGAAGATACATTATCCTATGGTTCAATATTAAATCATGATATATCTCTTTATAAATATAGATATACATGTATTAAGAAATTTTGCACTTTCAGATACCATCACTTCAGAACTATGCCAACAGAGTTTAGCCGGAATCACCCATATGTGATGGAATGCACTACCGAGCCTGCAAACAGAATGGACCCTCTAGCTGTCTTAATGAAAGAAATTGGGGTTAACAGACAACAGGACTGGTTCCAAAGGACATATGCAATGTCATTTCGATGGAGATGAGAGTGACAGAGAAACTTAGGAGGACATTTTGTCTGTACATTAGGACAAGCCAATGAGGGACCAGTACAAAGTGGGGACTGAAACTTCACTGTGTTCATGTGTTGTTTAGCAATGACACTTCTTACAGACGACTTGGGGAAGTCTCCGGTTTTTTGAGAAGACGTGTACCATCTTCTTTCATATTTCTGTAACAACATGTAATGACTTTCGAACAATTGAAATTGGTTTCTGTTTTAAACATCAGGCCATGAAATTCACAATTTTGAAAGAAGCACCACTGCCTACTATAAAAATACACTTAGTATTCTTACTCAAGTTTCTTAATACCAAGAGGTAGATCAGAGTAACAAAGAGAAAATACACTTTCACTTTTTAACCAGTTATGCGTCCCATCACCTAGAAACCACTGACCCTGAGGCCACATATTTCAATTTTTTTTTATTTTATCATACATTTTGTTTCATTAATAAATGGTTGTTTAATACAAAGAACAGATTTCAAAGAATTATTTTCAGACTATGTAAAGAATTTCATCAAATTCTGGAAATGTTTTGTAAGTCGACAAATCTGGAATAAGTTTGTTCTGAGCGCATACGTATTGATTCACATGACCCCACCGCCTTAAACCTTTAAGACTTCTCAAAAAAATTCTCAACTCAAGCCTAGAAAATTACTCAGTTAAGAATATTCTTAAATTCGCTGCCATAAAACAATTGGAGAATATTCTTAACTGAATAATTCTCAAGACGGGTTGAGAATTTTTTCAAAATTATTTTCTCGCGAGAATGTTTTCGCGGATTTAAGCGGCCCAGTGGAACTCTTTTTTTTTTGTCTAGAGGTAGGAAATGGTCACTTTAAATAAAAAACACACATTGTTGTCGTCTGCATTATTTAACATATAATGGATGCAGAGGTTGTCCCTGCGAGAGAGAGGGCACAGAATTGGGGGTGGATGAGGAAGTTGCACTTATTGAGGAAGTAAAGTCTCGGACATCAATTTTATTTTGGTCGTTCAAGGGGAATGGACAGAAAGGAAAGGGGAAAGAAATTAAATAAAAAAGAGTGGCAAACCATTGTGGACAAACTAATTCGTAAGTAGGCCTAGTTTAAGCAAAGAATTACACATTCTTAATAGCCTTATTTGTCATGATTCTGGTTTATATCAATTGTTTTTTTTCTTATAAAACTGTGATTTAGAGTAATCTCCCGTGTAGAATTCTCTACGAAATGAAAAGCCATAAAGCGTATTTTACAAAGGTAAACAAAAGTGCATGTGCTTCCTTCAACGGCTGTTAAACCGTAATAAACGGGTAGAATCATCTCTACAAGAAAGAAAAGCGGTGATGGCTTTGTTGTATTTTGTGTTTAGGGACATGCAGGGAGTAAACAGAGATCAGTAGGCTGTAATTTAATTTACCGTAGTTATACTGGACAAAGATGTGACAATTGCCAGCTGAGAACAGCTCCTATAACTGTACAAGGTCGTGCTAAGGAAGCACCATTTAGTAACTGCAAACAAATATTAAAAACAAATCCATGCCGATGTTTTGTGACAATTTGTTTCCCATATTAAAAGTAAATTACATAACAGAAACATTTCACCAGTTTTTACCATAATAATCATAAATAATGATATATGAATGCGAATTATATGTTAAGGGAAGTAACTCTAAAATAAGGAACAGTGTTGGTAGATCTGTGTCATGTTTCTAAATTTACATTTTCAGCCATTATATCTAGATTTCATTGGAAATTAGGATACAATAATGTATATAATACATACACATTATGAAATAAATGGGTTTTGGAAAACTTTTATGGTAAAAAATTATGTACGTCCTTTTTATTAACATTTACATAGGAAATCCATTGAAAACTGGAAAAGTATTGATTTGACAAAATCTTAAAGGGGGGGGGTGGCTTGGTGGGTTAAATGTACCAGAATATAACACGCTTAATACCATTATACCTGCTCAAGAGTTCTTGAGAAATTCTATTAATACTAAAGCCATGAACCTTGCCAATGTTCTTGCTCTTCATCATATGTTGTATTCCTTCTATTACTTTATAATGTTTATCTGTAATTATGTAAAATGTTATATGTCTATGCCCAATGGGCCCTGATTTGGTAATAAATTCTGTTCTTTATTGTACACATAGAATTTCCCATGATATTTTCAGACAATTTGACACAAAGAAGCGTGGGTTGGACGAAATTAAGAAAAAATACTACAATATTAAATCAAGAAGTAAGTTTAAGTAAAAGTGAAAAGAAGCAAAGTTTTACTGTCAAAAAATTTTGATTTGCTTTATCATTTTTTTTAAAAATATTTATCAAATAAATACTCAACTCATATTGATATATATATATATATATATATATATATATATATATATATATATATATATATATATATATATATATATTTAATTGTTTATTAAGAGAGAGAAACTAATGTATTATTAGAACTTGTTTCCAAACCTTCTAATTTGTTCAGTAAAATATGTCCATATATAATAACAAAACAAATCTGTTATCTCTTTATCTCTGGATATAAATTCATTTTGACACTCTAATGTTTTGTGTTATTATTATTTTTTTTAGTTAAATAAAATTAGATTGTTATCGTGCATAATAATGAACCATGTAAAATGTGTTTATACAGGCAAAGAGAAGTTAGACAGTTTCAAAAGGCCCAAGACTGGAGGAGGCCCTCCTGAACCCCCACTTACTGCTGGAGAAGAGACATTTTTGAGGTTATCTGAGAGTGAACCAAGTGTCCACGGTTTGGATGGATAAGTTGATACAGATGGTAAAAATATTATTAGGTTGTTTGACAGCACTCTTTCTTCCTATGATTTTGTGCTTGGATGTGATTTTAATATTATATATTTTATTACAGCCCCTACATTCCAAGTCTCAGAAGTGAATGAGAGCCAGTTGCAATCTTCACCACAAAAATTCTCGAAATTGATCGAGTAAATGTTTGTAATTTTTAAAATATATGACCTGTTGTCATTGCGACATTTTAGATAAGTACGAGTGTATGCAACTCATTGATTTTGCCTTTGAAGTTACATATTGTTCATGGTGTGAAAATAAAGACATCAATCAGCCAAACTTGTCCATGAAATTTATTAGGACCCTACACTCTAAACCAAACTTTGCGACATTCTTTTCCCTTGGAAATATAAGCATTCATAAATGTATATTGAAATATAGTAAAGAGTGTTTCGGCAGTTTTTATTACGGGTACTTGCCCTAAGGTCTGCCTCTTCAGGGGTCCACCTTAGCAGTGTGAGCTTGTGGTAAACGTGATCTAATAATTATTTCGCCTATGCTTTTTTTTATGGTCAATGATATTGCGCCATAAATTGCACCTTTTTTGCATAACAGGATCTGTAGTGTTATGGTCGAAGACAAATATGTAAAACTATAACGCTACAGATCTGCAGCTACGTCTAGTGGTATCATCACTGCATTGGGTGTAAAGAGCAGTTTGATATTGAAGTGCGAAGATTTGGGAACTCTCAATTTTTTAGGATATAGATGTACATGACGTTTACACAATGTCATGTTCTGAGATTTGATTCGGAGACAAGGTCTTCCAACAATCTATTGGAATCTCCATGGGAATCATTTGAAAACGTATAAACACAGACAGATAGCTACACTATTATCGACACATTCGATGAATTTAGCAGTAGATTCTTACAACATAGTTAACAGCTCCCGATAGTGGCATCGGAGAAGAGAGCTCTCACTGTTTTGACTCCATTGTTACCTATCTTAAATGAAATTGCCACTGCAAAAATTGATCAAGTATACTCCGAACACAACTTTTAGATTAACAAAATGCAAACATGAATGAGGATAGCAGAGTATGCTCATATATTATCATCCTGATGTTTTTGCCCTAACATAAACATACTTATTATTTCTCCCCAATTTCGTGTTGAAGACTATGTACCACATCCCCGCCCCATTCCCACAAAGAAATTCCCTTATGTTTTTTATCATTGAACTTCTGTAACTTTGCCAAAGTCCTTCCAAAGATCATGCAGCACTTAAATGGTGGAAAACAGATTTCAACCTTGTAGAGTAAAGGTGACCTCATCCCACCCTCCTTTCATCACAATTTGAGTCTGTCAGCGAGGTTGAAAAATTAAAATTTGTGGATGTGCTGTCCAAGATGCAGATTACTAGCTCATATTTCCAGTTCTCTATTGGACGTGTCCAAGATTATTTCCGTAATCCAAAATACTGGGAAAAAAGCCACAAATCCTACGAAAAAAAGGAATTCTTAGAAACATTTTCCCTGAGAAACTGACACTTTTCAGCAGTGGCAGAAAAAAGAAGACAGTTTGCAGAATAGCATTCTATGCCAGTCGACTCTTTTAAATTAGCCTTAACTCCATTCCTTGGCAACAGAGGACCAAATCATCTACTGCAATTTCAACTACAAAAAGTAAGGAACAACCCCTTTAATGTTTAAAAGCTTTTTCTAAATGTAATATAAAAATCATGAACTTTTACATACCTTTGGACTCGCTTTTAACAAGCTGCAAAACATATTTAGTAGATGTTTTAAAAGATTTTACCATAACCTCCTTTAGAACATTTTAAAAAGATTTTTTGTAATATTGAGAATAGAAATTGTTCATATTTTTTTTAAATGTTTCCTCTGAAATCTTTCGAAAAACCTCTTTACATCATAAATAAAATGTTTGAAAAATGTTTTGTGCCACATTGACTGCCGTGCGAGTTTTGCTAAGGATTCTTCGTGAAAAACAATTATGACTGCATGCAAAAACATGTGAGTAAGGCATAGATGCAGTAGATTCGCATTCATGTTAGAGGTGAAACAAAGAGAACCCCAAGTTTGAAAAATCTTTGCCTTTCTGATAAACTGATCAGAGAGTTTTGATTCTCATTTTAGGAAAAGTTAGGAATTATCATATGAGCAAAAAAAGTTCGCAGTAGTGTGAAGGCTTCCAGAAGCTTTAAACGCACTCAAAATGTAACACTCTTTCTTTTGACTATATATTAACTTATTTTTGAGATATCACATGACCTCGATGATCACGTGACGGCCTTATATGCTTTTTGGAAAAGTTTCATATAAATCGCTAGGGCGCAGGTAATTTAAAAATTATTAATTTGTTTTACCTGATACTAATTTTGTCGCCTCCTTGTGAATCCCAAATGAACTTGGGAAAAATTGAACTATTTCTCTGGTAAAAATATTACACAAAAACTTCAACTTAACGTCAAATTTACGGGTATTTTCCACTCATTATCGTCATCTGTTTTAAAACAAAGCCATCATACATATTTCCAAACACGATTCGGTTAGAGGGAAAACTCATCTAACAATTTACTACAAAAAATCTCAAATAAATCCTAAAAAATAACATGCGCTAGGCACTTTTATACACATATTATGAATGCTTCTTCTATCCCGAAGTATAAACAAGAGGCCCATGGACCTTGTAGGGCAACTGAGCATATGGATAAATGGTGTGCAATTTATTCATGGGCGGATATATTTTGTCTGAGATTGGCGTACACCGCAATGCGGCATTCATAGGACCGGCGTAAAATAGCGAATTTGCAAATCAAGTAAACCGGCGTCAAACGTGTAAAAACAAAACTGGAGGAACCCGCGGTTCCGGTTTTTCTATTCGTAAATGACGTAGTGCGAGTATAGACCTACTACAAATAAAAGTCAGTCAGAAATGTGGAAAGGTAACATTTTTTCCAGGCTTTATGGGTAATACGTATATGTATACATGTATGATGTGTTTTCGCATTTGTTTATTTAAAAATTCTTGAAAATTTCTGTTTCAACAACCAAGGCTTCTTTAAGAATTACCCTCATTCTGATTCAAAGTATTTGCATATAGGTTCTCGGAAGCATGGAGAAAAATGGTCGATACAAATCATGGACAACAAAGGAACTTGAAGACTACATGTATACTTTCTTTGTATCCAGGTAAAAAGATGCATAGCAATAGTACATTCTCTGGTGGTACGGCAGATTTTAAGCGAATCTTTTAAAGTGTCAGCTTGAACATTTCTTTTAAATTTTGCAAATGATACTAGATTATACTCATTTCCTCAATTAAAGCTGAACACTACTCGTAAATAGGCATAGTCCGCCATATTTCCCGTTCTTCAACGCTCTCCCTACAACTCGTATATAAGGAGCAGATCGCTAGTCAGTTCAATTTATTTCACTGTAGAGATCCGTCGAGTGTAGACGTACATCTTACGAAGCGTGCTACTCAATCTCGATGAAATTATCACATTTTACGTATTTTTTCCAAAACAGGACAAAAGTATCATAGAAAATACAGGTCAATACATTATTTACAAACAGAAAATGCACATAAAAACAAGAAATAAACACAAAAATGTAAGACCACGATAGGAGTACTACATGTCTGCCACGAGTTTCGAATGTGCAATCGGGTGTAACGAAAGCGAACGGTTTATATACCCGTCTGACAGTACCTATTTATGAGAAGTGTTCAGCTTTAAAAGGAGTGAGTAAAAAATTGGACTTACAAAAGTCAAATGCGGAGGGATATAAGTCACGTTTGTCTGAGTTCATTTTCAAAAATAAAGTATTCTGATTGACAGTAATGTTGCTATCTTGCATTAAAAATCAAAAACATGATTAGCCAGCTTATTTTGTCACCTTATGTACACATTCCTGTAAGTACCGGTAAATCAAATCTCTGTCTCGATAAAAAAAAAGACCTTTAACAAGTTAAAGGACATTAAAGAAGGGGTCATATATAATTTTATATTTAAAAAAAATAGCTTTATATTACAAGTTTTATAAAATTTCTATACAAGCTGATTGTTTCTATAGTTAGTTTAAGGTTAATTCATGCCATGTCCTATGTATCTGGGGAGGAAACTGAGGAAAGCTTAAGGTAAACTTTCCATAAAACAAGATCGATAAGATAATAATACAAATCCTTAATATGTTCAAAATCATTTTTACAAATTGCGGAAGTAAAATTTTTCTTTTTAACAAATTTGATTATTATTTTTTTTTGAATGGATATCTCAATTAAAATCTTACCTCATCAACAATTGGATGGAAGACCCCCTCGTTGCGAGTTCACACGTTAATGCAACGAGATTGTATTTATTATACTTATTATTATTGTTTTGGTTGAATTTTAAAAATATTTTTATTAGCTAACCTGAGCTGAAAACTCGAGTTAGCTTTTCTGATCACAATTTGTCCATCCTAGCTCTTGTTAACTTTTGACATTTTCGACCTCTTCTCCTGAACCACTGAACCAATTTCGATCAAAGTTGACACAAATCATCCTTTGGGTGAAGGGGAATCAAGTTCAATCAAATGAAGAGCCATGACCTTTTTCAAAGGGAGATACAGTCAAACTCGTTTACAATGAAGAAAGAATAAATCTTCATAACTCTGCTTTCTCGCCCCTTTTTTAAATGCAAAATTGTACCTTTTCAAATCATAAAATTGCCATAAAATCCTTAACCATTGTCTGTAATTCTGTATGGATACTAATGAAATATTTATTAGGAAAGAGACTTTGAAATGGAATACTGTTCGTCATCTCCATATCCTTCTTTCAAAATGTACATGATATTGCTGGAATAAAATCGTATATTTCACTGTAAAAACCCGGCTGAGCCATTTCAGCTATGTAGTAAAAAAAAGAAAAGAAATCTGAGCCAATGCTCACTAGTTATACCCCCGCTATGATGTGAATAAACACTATCATGTTAAATCTATATACACAAGTTTAATTACGGGCAAATGCACAGAAAAATATAAAGTTGAAATCAGATTCAATTCAAATTGAATCCCACTATAACACGTCTCAACAAAGAGTATACTAAAATTTCAAGCACCTGCGATGAGTAGTTGCTGAGAAAACTGAAACAGGAAGTTGAGATCCGAT